TTAAGGAAAGGTCAAATAATGAATGAATATAAATGGTGAAATCAGTGGTGAAGTTTCATGCACTAGGTTAGTGCCTGGCAGTACTGTAACCCACCAGTTAAACCTACAGAAGTTTCAGAAGTAGTATGTGGTCTGAAAAGTCACATCCTTAAAGCATGGTATGAGCTGCTAAGGGGCAAATGGGCCAAATGCTGAAGTGTCTGAGTGTTCTAGGATCTGAAAAATCTTTGTAAATCTAGGCCTGATTGTTTAGATGGATGAGTCAAAATGCTATGTTTTGTATTCAGTATTTAATAGAAAAAAACCTGGCCATTTCTAAGTGTAGAAAATATGAAAGCTTATTCTCAATATCTGCAAATGGGAAACTTGATGTTTTGCAGCATCTTTGTCTTGTGTTAGAAACAGGTTGAAAGAAAAAAACAAACTAAAACTAGAGAATTTATTGCTTGTCAAGAGGGAAGTCAAAATTATTTGTGCACATCTGTTTAAAAACTATTTCAACTTTTCTGTCTCATTTTCTGTTATTTTTGAAGTAGACTGATTGAAACTTAAATGCTGAAGTAGAAGAATATTGGGTCACTATGTTTCATCTGCATGTAAGGTTTTACTAACATTACTTATGAGGAGGGGTAATGAACAATTTGTCCTGGATGTGGACCTTCCAGGGGTTTGGAGCACCTGCACTTGGAAGCCTTCTCTTCAGCCAGAACAGCACAGCTCATGTAACTAATATCTCATGAAGTTTAATTTGGTTTGGCTTTGCTGGTTGTGGACATTGCTTTAAAATTTTGTCTTCTCTTTGCTTTCTTAACACTGTGTACGGTAGTTAGATTAGCAGTTTGCAAGACTGCTCGTCCTCATGACTAGTGAATCTTCCTACAGGATTTGATGGGACATTCTTTGTCCGGGGTGGCTTCTGAGACTTGTTTGGGGCTGAAAAATGTGAGGGTTGTATTAGTTCATTCTGGTTTGGTTTTATTTTTTGCCCTTAACTAACTGAATGAAGCCATGACTGTATCCTTATAACCAGTGTGTTCATATGCAAATTGGAATAGTCCTATACTCTTCAGTTGCTAACTTAAACTCACTAGCTGAAGTAAAGCCTAGAGTCTAACCTCTCCCTGCATCTCCTTTTCATCCAGTGGATGTTAGTGAGGCCAGTTATTCACTGGGCTCTCTTTAATTCATCCCATCTTCCTCAGCAGTAGCTTCATTTTTTTCTTCCTGAAACATACAATCTGATCACCACAAGATTTTAGGATTTCTTTCTCTGCCTTTCTCATGATGTTACAACATCCTCTATTGATGGCAAATTCCATTTTTTGCTGCTTACCCATCCATATATATATAACACTGCAGATGTTCTTTTCTTGGCTTCTTGCTTCTGTCACGTCACTCCCAAATTGTACGTTGCCTGAGACCTTTTGTGTTTACAAAAATTCCCTGTAACTCCTTGCATCTGTAGCCTCCTACTGATGTGCCATATTTTTACACTTTTTTTTTTGCTCTTATGCTCTGGTGGGGCATGTGAGGGCTTGTGTGGTAGTATGCAGTACAGCTATTGCAATCCACAGTGAAAGTGGTAACCATTGGTTTTGTGCTATGCTGATACCTGTAAAGTAGTATATTACAGGATGTGGAAGAGGCATAAATTCAGACCTGCTATTTGGTGCTGCAAAGGTATATTTTGGAAGTGGCAGGGGTAAAGACGTCTGGAGGGGGAGGTTTCTTTGTTTATTCTGAAATGATTGGATGCCACGAATACCAAAAAAATAGCCACTTTTTATTTTGTGTTTACATACATATAGTTTCTGTCTTGTGACCATGTAGCTCTGAATTCAACTAGTAAAGCCAACAGCTAATGTTTTGGCGTTCTTCATGCTTCTCTTCTCCAAGAGAAAGCCTAACTTCAGACATCCAACTTTCTAGGTGTGGAATTAAGATGTAATTATAAAACTGTGCTGCAGCCAACAGTTCTCATTTGGTTTTGAGAAGCATTGAGTTTGCTAAGTCTTCTGCAAAATGGACAGATGTAAACTTCTGAACGTATTCATTTGGGTTCTTGAGTAACTCTTAAAATCAACACAAAAGAGCTTTTATGGGCAGGAAAAGTGTTTCCAACCTGCAAGTTTGTTTTGGAGAGACAGGCTCTTTTGTGTGCTTCCAATCTTGACTGATAGTGCTGCTGTGCTGATAGATTCTCTGTGCTGTCATAATACTGCACAGGTAGTCCTGTGCTTTGTTAATGGCAAGAATATCTATAGAGAGCATAGCATAAATTACAAAAACACTGTTTTAAGAGAAAACTTAAAATGAATCAATTTCCAAAAATATTCTCTTTCCTCTAGGTTATCTAGCTTTCTTGCATCAGCAAATACTGTAGACTCTTAATCTGTATGGGGGAAAGGCTGAAATCTGTAGAAGTGCTGATTTAGGATTACAGGCAAACCATGTTTGCTAAAATTTTGTGGTGTTTCAATTACAATGGAGACAAAGCATAGTTTCCAGACTGCAGAACAAACAACATTTGTTAGACCTTATGTTGGCCGTAGATCAGCAATTTGTGTTGCTCAAGCATGACTACCACTGTCTAAGGTTGTAGAGTGGACAAGGAGTGGGCAGCAGTCACTAGAGAGACATAGACACCAACTTCAAAGATGAGGACGAAGGACTGTAAAGCTATCAAAAGATTTAGTGGGAATCCAGAATACAAGGAAACAACCGAGAAGGAAACAGCAGATAGATAATGGCAGCTAGCTTGGGAGTGTAGCAAGGTCTGGAGAGGCTACTGGAGAAGGGTGTTGTTCTAAAGATGTATAATTTCATACCATGTTATAATAGTATGCTATGTGGCTAAATTGGAGTTTTGTAACTATCTAGTGCCTTTTGAATTGCCTCCAAGCATACTTTTTGTTTAAAATACCTTTCTCTTTTTTTAAATTATGTTTTGGAGCAGAGTAAAAACTATGGACACAAAATAAATTCCTCATGGGTAACCTTCTAACTATGTGCTACAACATGGCATTTAAAGTTTCTTTTTGACATATAAATTGCAGTCCACTGAGTAAATAAAATGGATTACTTATGGTAAACGGGACTAGTCAGACAACCTAAATCTTCCAAAGCTATTCCAGAAGATGTCCAGAGGCTTTTAAAGATCCTATTAAAAGATTTTATTTGCAGATGGTACAGAGAGGATAAAAAAACGCCAACAAAACAAACCACATTATGTGATGCATCTTATTGCTCCCTCTTTTGTGAAAGGCATCTTACTCATAAGGTGCAGCTATAGGTGAAATTTATCTCTAGTGTTTGTAAAGAAAAGTAAATTGCTAAAGAATCCAGAGTTCTTGGAGTGGATTCAGGAGTAGGAAGCACAAAGTTTACATATTTTATGCAATTGTTATTCTGCTAATTATAACAATATAAATGACACAATCTTGTTGCAAATTTGAATAGTGTGTTAAAGTGTGAACCACCAGGATCAGAAGACAGTTTTGTTGAATGAGTGTAGTAGTGCATAATGTGACCTTTTAGCAGCTCTCACTAATGATTAAGAAGTTTGACTGTTCAGAACTCAGAGTGAACTTGCACAGTTTCAATTAAAAATATAAATATAACATCTGCAAGTGGAACTTCCTTAATACAAGACTGCAAAAGTAGCATGAAATTCCCTAATGCTAAATCAGACTACTTAGAAAACTGTCGTTTTTGAAACATGGTGCATGCAAGATTTAACTTATATTGTACCCAGTTCATAGTTTTCTAATGGTAGTGTTTGAAAAGGTTGCTTTGTGCTTGTCAATTATAAAAACCCAAAGTCCTAAATACCAAAAAAACCACCTTGCTGATATCACATGAGTTACATACTATTGCTTTTTTTGGTTAAAATGTGCAAAAACATACTGGAGATAAAAGCTGTTGACATTTCATCCAACCACTCTGTTTTAATTCAGTACTGACACTTTCTATCTTGTCAACAAAGTGTTGAAGATGCTTCAGAGTCTTGAGAGAAAAAAGAAAGTAAAAATTTGAATAGGTTACTACTTGTGCTCTGTCTCTGAAGAGAGCTATTCTGTATTCTACCTGTATCAGTCTTTCTTCCTCAAGTATAAAAACAGTGTGCATTTTTTGAATCTTAGTAGACATATGTGAACAGTTAGTATTTGGGAACTAATTGAAAAAGCTTGTCTGTGTAACTGTATTTTTTAAAGTACATATAATTAATATTTTTCTTATGATGAATTCTGATACAGTGGTTAGTTTTGTGCTATAGCCAATAATCATTCTTTTCTTAAAAACATTTTGCCTAGATGGCAAATGACTGTTTTTAACAGACTTTAATTATCTTAGCAGTTTATACACGTGAGAAATTTTGCCTCATGAGCAGTAACTATTTGAACTGCTTACAGCTCCCTTTGCAATAGAGCTGCCATCTGGCGCCTGGGCAGTACTGACTAGGGATTTCTTTGCTGAAATGTTAATCTCAGCTGTCTTTTGGTGGGTAGAGAACTGTTTCTTTAATAGCAATTTATTACCTCCTTTCTATGTGCACTGCCAGTAATGTTTTAAAACGTAGGAGCTGTTGAAAAGTTTAATCTTTTATCCTCTCAGAAAGCAGGTTACAGGAAGGTAGCTGTGGAAGACTGCAATAGCAGATATTGTTGATTGCATGCCATTAGTTTCTCTTTTCTATTAATAAAAAAATAAATGAAAATAACCTGTTTTGTGGATGAATACCAAAAATTCCTGGGAAAATTACCTGTTTTCTGGATAAACAATTCTTTGTCAATCTAGATTCCAGTGGAGATGCTTCTTTGAAGTATATTTCATGAGCCTTACTCTTAAGTTTTTTCACCAAGCTGCTTCAGCTATGTTGGAGTTTAAAGAGAACTCCTGCTTTATGTTAGTGTCTTGAAAAATATTTTTCTGCTTTTTTCTATTATGAGCAGAAGATAATTTTTAAAAGCGTTTTTAACCTCATCTCTCTCTTCTCACAGAAGAGCTCCAAGCGAGAGTGGAAGCCTCTGGAGGACCACAGTTGCACAGATGTACCATGGCTGCTTTTATTCATCCTCTTCTGCATAGGAATGGTGAGTGAAAAAAGGATTCTGAAGAGCTGACGAGTTTGAATTCATGAAAGAGAATTTTTAAAACCTTCAGTAACTCACTGGGTAAGGTCAGGTATACTTATATGGCAACCATCACCTGTAGAACAGAATTGGGTGCATATGGGTCTTTGGTTGGGATACATGATTTATTGTTTATGCCAATTCTTTCTCCAGCTCCTCTTCCCTTGAAACTCCAGTTTCATTTGTAAGTTATTTTCAGCATGGTGAGGTATCACTGGATTCATATAACTTACGGGACTGTGGATGTCCCAGAAATAATAGCTTTGAGTCTGGAAAACCATTCTGTGAAATCACAGTAGACACCTTGCTCATAAACAAAGATTTGGAATATTAAACAATTGGCTTTTTTTTTTTTTTTCTCGGATGCTTAGTAGAAGCACCTCCTATTATCAACCATATTAGTACTAGTAAGATCTTTCTTTCCAAGTTATCCCAGCTTTGTCCTTGTGTGATGAAACCATCACCTTTTCCAAGACACACAACATTGTGCACTTCATATTAAAAAAACTCAAGCCTCCAAAAGTGGCAGATTAGTGAAAACTAGAAATACACCTCTTTTTATCTTGTTTTGTTTCGTGTTCTTTCTGAACAGAATGTCTGTCACTGTCTTGTACTGCTGTGTTGTAAGCAGTAGCCCTTAGGAGGTTGGGACTTTTGTGCTGTCATCTTCCTTTTCCACTGTCCCATGTTCTCTGGTCTCTGGAATTACTCTACTGAAAAATTGCTTTTTCTTTCCCCAAAGTGTTTTGTTTTGGCTGTGCTTCAACAACAAAGATGATAGTATTTTGTTTAAATCATACAGATCATGTATGATTTAAACACTGTAATGTGAATATCTTGAAAATGTAAAAAGCACAGTACTTCCTGAAACAAGCACCTTTTTTTTTTTTTTTTTTTTTTTTTTTTTTTTTTTTTTTTTTTTTGTGGTTGTCTTACTGCCTTTGATGTTCCCTGCTTACTCAGTCTGTATCTACCTGCTCCTCAATTATAAATTAGTCTGCTGTGTGTGAGTGTCCTAGATTTTCCTGTCTAAGCAGTATGATATACAGAGCAATTATCCTGTTGGGTCAGATGCCATGTTAGGAGTTCTAGGGGGCTTCACTTGAAGGGTCAGGTATCATGATGGGTCAAGAGGCTTCACTGTTCTAAATTAGCTTAGAGGGGGAAGAATTGCATGTCTTCCCTTACCCTGTCTGTAGGGAAAAAATTACTGAACTAGCCAAGAATCTAAGTACTATTGTATGTGTCATTTACAGACTAGTAAGGGATCCAAGAAGCTGAAAGTAAGTGCTGGAAATCAGCTTTAATTATTACTTGTGATACCCTTTTGCTTATTTTGTCCTTGTTTTCACTTTGAGTATTAAGCCTATAAGTGCATTAGTGCATGGGCAAGAGAAAGATAATGACCAGCTTGCTGTCTGAAATTTCTCTAGAAAGTCAGTGTGTCCATCAGAAAAGGTCACTCTTCTGTATCTTCAGACCTTTAAAACCACCCAAAAACTAACTGTTCCATTATGACTTCATTACCTGTTGTCATCATCTCATGTGGTCCTGTTGCTGCTATCTGTTGCTCCATACATTTGTCTCAGCTGGTAACTCTGCTTCCCCTTTTTAAACCTTCACTTGCCTCATCTGTAAAAACAGTTCATTGATGGAGTGATCTGATGGTTCACTTCTCCCTGTCAGTGGTGTTGCTACAAAACTAATGATTCTTTTGGACAAGTCTCCTGTTTGCATAATCACTGCTTTGATACTGTTTTTGCTAGTGCAATATCTCTGACAGTTCGCAGCAAGACCTGCCTGACATTGGTTATTTTCTACATTAGTCTGAGCCATTTTGCATTCTCTTGCTCTGTGTCTTGTTTCTTTCCTGCATTTGAACCCAGCATCTGGAACCATAGTGGCCTTGATCTGGTCACTTTCTTCAGAGGATTTTCTTAAAAGGAACATGTCAGAAAAGCTTCTTCATTCTAGATTATCTTTGAAAGCACATAATTTGAAGGAAAAAAAAAAGGCAGGAAGATCTGGACTGTCTGGAATCCTGTAAGATGCATGCTAACCCTTGACAACTCCAGCTCTGCTTGTAGCTCTCCTTCACTACCTGCCCTTGGCCTCCCTTCTGATTCATGCACCACTTGCTGACAGTATGAATCTCAAAAAAACCACCTACAAGATTCTTAACTATGCTTGGATAATATGCAGTGTTAGATGTCTGAATACTCTTTTGGCTTGCATTCAATTTTATAATTGCACAACAGTTCTCTGTGGATGGTCCTTGTCTTTTTCAGTCTGAAAGAATTTTTAAAGGACCCCTGCTTAGAAACAAATGAATTAAAGTGGCTTTTCCCAGCTGTCAGAGTATTACTAAACTGTGGGGTTTTTTTCTCCTCCAGGGTTTTATATGTGGATTTTCAATAGCTACAGGAGCAGCTGCAAGACTGCTTTCAGGATATGACAGTTACGGAAATATTTGTGGACAGAAAAATGTCAAGGTGGAGGGAATAGTCAACAGTGGTCTGGACCTCACACACAAGAAGTGAGTATGTGATTCAGTTGCTTCATCTGTAAACCAGGAAAGGCAAAACCTGTCTTTCTTTGAGAGTCGTTTTCGGTAAAATGGGAAAAGGGATATGTTGACTGATTTCCTACTTGTCCTTCTTCACTCTTCTCACCTAGAGAACAACAATCTTTTATAATAACCAGCAACAGTACTTGGGACTATATATTGATGGATGTGCAAGCAATATGAGTAAAGCTAAGACACGGAGGAATTTCCCTTTCTTAGCATCATCTTCATGTCGGAGATAGTATCAGGCCACTGAAGAATCTTGTTTGTTAAAGTTCTAGATATGACAAGTATTCGCAGATTTGGGAGCAGACCTTTGATATCTATGTAGGCATGGTTTGCTTTTGATGTTACATGCTCAGTTTCTGCCACGGAGTTTAGGATGAGATGGGATATATCCAACACATTAAAATGAGACTTTAAAATTTAAACTGTAAGCAGAATATATGTAAGTGGCTTGTGGAGAAAATGCATAAAACTTTTAAGCAGTGTGCAGCTCTTGTTAAGCAGTGTCATGTTAAAATACGTACTTACATTTCAGAACCAGCACAGGTATTTCCTATCCATTGTGCAGAAAAGCACCATACTACAATAGTAGTATTGGAACTGAGTAACAAGAATTCTGAACTCTCAGGTTCAAAACCTGTGAATGTCTGTTGAGGTCTGTCTGCTACCTCAGAGTGCATCTGTACAACTTGGGTGACTTTAGAAAATAAATTATTTAGTCTAACTTTAGAACAGTGGTATTAATTGACAAAAAAAAAAAAAAAAGATGTTTCCTTCACTGTTGATTACTTCAAAGAACTAAAAAGTCTTTAATTTCTGGGCATGGTAGCCTTTTACTTCACATTTACTTTCAGACTAACAAAAAATACATAATTTGCATGTATTATTTTGGAAGGATTCTTTCCTAAAATCTGTTTATTTTGAGTTGCTATACTGTTAGATTTCTGAATATCTGATTTAAGATTTAATGTGGCTGGGTAGTGTGTTGCTAGAAGAATCTGAGTTAGATAAAATAGCCTGAAGCATTTTACAGATTTCTGTCAAAAGAAGAATTTCTTAATCTAATCACAGCTTCCAGGAGGCTTGAAAGGCTTAAAACTTATGCAGCATAATTTTTCCACTTCTTCATATAAATATTTTAGTGGTTTCTAAAATCAGATGTGTTCAATACAAAATTGTCATTCTTGTGAGAGAAAATACAAATTTTAAAATTATAATTTTAAACTTTCCTTTAGAAATAAATGGTGTCTGAGTTTGTGTGAAAGTGAAGAAACTCAGACAGCTTATTGAAATGTAACAATTAATAGCATAATAGTCTCCTACATGTGACAGTAATGAGGCCATTATGAGGAGAAATATAATCACTCCTAAATTATTCTCCCTTGTAAAGCCAGGATCAAAAGACAGCAAATAAAAATGGAGACTATTTTTAACAGATATAATAGGCAGAGCCCATTGCTTGTCAAAGGCTTAATAAGGTTCAGAAGGATTGCCTTTTTCTAATAAAGGCATCATGGCTTGAGGCATGACCTAAGGAAATGAATGGATACCCTCCTATGGGATATCATCTCTATTTGGTTAAGCGAGAGAGAAAAACTTCTACCAAGGCAGATTATTCTGTAACTGTTACAGTGAAGTGCCTGGTACAGTCCAGGGTACCACCTTTGAAGAGGCCAGTTCTTACATAAGTGAGTGATCCTTCCCACTTTCACACCCTATAGCTTTTTAAATTTGCTTGGCAATTTTTCATAAGAAACTTTTCTGCTTTGCATCTGTCCTGCAGTGTCTGAGGTGCAGTCCATGGGAGTATTCATGCTATTTTAGAGAAGAACTTTTAGGACAGACTGTAAAAATAAACTCTTCTTCCTGCCTGTACGTTTCAGTTTGTATAGAGAAAGAAAGGTCTTTAAGCTCTACAGACGTGGTTCTGGTAATAGGAAGTTATTCTTATTTCATTCTGCTTGGAGGGTAATTCTGTCTTCATTTCCCAGTTCAAGGCAGAAGAGCTAAATCATCTGTAAAAGTAACATTTTCTTCCTTGTAAATTGCAGAAACCGATAGGCACTGTAATGAGGAAGTGAAATGAATGTGATCTGTGTGGATATGGAAATCTGGGTGGTAAGGGTGAAGAGCAGAGTTCCTTCAGGGATATGATTTGATCCATGTGCATCAGACATGTTGAAACCCATGAGCTGAAGGGGAATTTTACAGCCTGGTCTCATTCAATCAGGCATCTTTTTACAAAGAAAACAGTACAGGTTTAGTAGGCTGTGCTTTAGAGACAGACGCAGGATTATAGTTAGCCCTGGCAGTGAATTCTCATTAAACCTATCTGTTACAAAAAAGCTCCTTGCTTTTCAAATTCTGGCAGTTATAAGGGGGTTAAAAAAATGACCTTTTATTTGCAAATAAATGATAACCATGACAGCCAAATAGAAGTATGTGAAATGCTAGTTCAGTCTGATTTTTTTGATCACCAGTATGTAGCTTCTTGGACAGGATTCAGTTTGTACTGTTCACTCGAGTGTAAGTTGTGCATGTGCCACTATAGAGAAGAGTTAGAGTGGCATTCCACCTTAATAAATGCCTTTGACTCGGGGAAACGCTTGGAGTTTAGGCAGTGGGAAAACCCAGGGAGAGTTTGCACAGGCATACAGAGAATTTGGTTGAGTGAAACTGTGTATACCCTACCCATACTTTGTTTAGAGTGAGTGTGATCACTTAACTTCTCCATTATTGTGATACTTTTAGATCACAGCAGACAGTTCTGTAAAGTACTCATTTGTCTATGAAGAGATGCCTTGAGGGCTGACAGAAAATCAGTAACCCTGGCAAACTTAAGAGTATACCAAATACCTGAAGGTAAGATAGGCTTGTTCATGTGATCTGTAACAGTGCTTCTAGAATCAAGGTGTAGTGTACAAAATGATGATGGTCTTTCCTCCTGTTTTTGCAAGGGAAGAGGAGACTGCTGTATTTTTCATAGGCATTAACAGGTAATAGTTAGGCATTTTCATAGGCATTAACAAGTCTGGTAAGCTACCAGTCAGAAGCCAAAGTTGTTGATGTTTCTTTTTTTTTTTTTTCCTTAACCTCTGCTCATTTTGAAATTATGTTTTGAATTACTCACCTAGAAATCTGGATTTTTCTTTTGGAAGTGAAAAAAAGAAATGCATTGCAATATAAGCTCAAAATAGTGGTAAAGCACAATAAGTTATCCTATAGATCTGTTAAAAAAAAAAAAAAGTTATGATTCATTTTGAAAAGTTGTAGTGAGGTTTATTTTGAATTATATGCCTCAGTATGGACAACTTGACCTTATTTTCAGAAACCATGGCTTTTGAAAAGCTAAATAAAACTCTTCCCTTGCTTTTCTTTATGTGTAGAAATCAGCTTAAAATTAAAGATTAATTTAAAATTTATAACTTTTATTATGGTGACAGGAGGAAAACATTAAAAAATACATGCAGTTATTTTTACTCAAGTAAGCTTTTCATCACACTCTATTTGAGAGGTTCTTTTAACAAATTGATTTTCAGAAAAGTGGATTGTTAAGATCAAAGAATCCTAGAACCATATAGAATGCCTTGGGTTCAAAGACAGCTTTCAAGGTCATGTAGTTCCAACCCCCTATAGCAGGGACCTCATCAGCTAGATCAGATTGCTCAAAGCCTCATCTAGCCTGTCCCTTAACACTTCCAGGGAGGGAGCAGCCATACCTTCTACGGGCAGCTTGGTTCAGTGTATCACCACCTTCACAGTAAATAATTTCTTCCTTGTATCTGATCTAAATCTACCCTCTTTCAGTTTAAAACTGTTACCCTTGTCCTATCACTAGGCCCTCATAAAAAGCCTCTCTACATTTTTTGTGTAAGTCCCCTTTAAGTACTGAAAGGCCACAATAAGGTCTCCTCGGACCCTCCTCTTCTCCAGACTGAACCAGCCCAATTCTCTCAGCCTTTCTTCACAGGAGAAGTCTTCCAGCCCTCTCATCAATTTTGTGACCCTTCTCTGGACCTACTCCAACAGGTCCATATTTTTCTCGTAGCAGGGGCACCAAAGCTGACTACAGTTCTGCAGGTGAGGTCTCACCAGAGCAGAATGGTGTGAGAGACTCTCCTCCCTCAACCTGCTGGCCATACACGTCTTTCGATGCACCCCAGGATACAGTTGGCCTTCTGGACTGCAAGTGCAGATTGCTGGCTCACATCCAATTTTTCATCCACTATTACCCCCAAGTCCTTCTCTGCAGGGCTGATACTTCATAAAGATACATAAAGATTCTTCCTAGCTTGTAAATCTGATATACTGCATTTCCTATAGCAAACAAATTTTCATTCTCAATGTTGAAGCATCTCTAACAATATGATTAGTTTACTTCAGTCTTTGTATTACTGATCTAAGTTGCTTATCAACAAATTAGTCTATTGTTGATTCTAAATGTCTGAAATTGCAGCACAAACCATGTAAGTACATTCTTCTAGTGAGAAATAAAATCTGTTCTGTAGTGACACAGTATGGCATTTTCAGCAGTAAAATCACATACTTTTCAATAAGTAAGCTTTAAAAACAAAAAACAAAAAACTTTTTCCTCTGTAATGCTGGTGCTTATCATTTTGATTTTTGTTTAAGCTTCTAGAAATTTAAAAAAAATCTTACTTCTGTCTTGCTAGACCGTGGACTGAAAACACAGATTTTTATAGCTTGACGTTCGCTTTGCAGCTGCTTTATTGTTAGAACTGTCTCTGAACCATGCAATGCAGTGTTTGAGTTACATGTGTCTCTTTAAGTGTAACACAGCACACCTCTGTCAAAACTGCATATGGCACTATAGTTGCACTGTATTTCTAAATTTCCAGGCTTGAATTAAAATAGTAGTGTTTATATTACAGAATATTCTAATTTCTTCTGGCCATTAAAATTATGGCTTGGCCCTTGAGTTTAAATCACTGAAGAAGTGGGCT